ATTGCTTGGCTCCTAATAACACGTGAGTCATCAATGGAATAACACATGGGTGCAGGGAGAGACACAGCACCTGGCTTTCCAGCAGCCCTTTGCCTCCCTGTGCGGGCCACGTTGGGGTTTTGAGCACATTTTTGGATCAACAGGCAGCGAGGAAGGAATCTGAGCTCCAGGTACACACCGGTGACTCCAGCTTCACTGCTAAACTGGGGTGAACTGGTGAGCTGGGGTCATGCTTGAGAGCTGTCTCCCAGCTGGGACCCCTTGCAGCTGGAAAGGTGTGAGCTCCGTCCCCTCCGTGCCGATCCTGCCCGGGACCGGCGGGGCTGGGTTGGCACTGGCGGGATCTGCACAGCCTGGACGAGGACGGGAGCAGGCTGCACTGCTCCTGGAAGCGGAGCAGAGCGCTGCATTGCTCCTGGAAGCGGAGCAGAGCAGAGGCCTGGGCTCCAGCCCGGTCAGCAGAGGAATCTGCACACGCAGACAGGATCGCTGCAATTGCTGGTGGCTGAGTGAGCAACTTTGCAGGCTTCCTCGTCCCCTCGCCCTGAATGTCAGCTTTGAATTTTCTTGCTATTTTTAGGGATGGTTCAAAAAAAAAAAAAAAACCACCGAGGAGTATCCCCTCCCTTCTCGCTTTGCAGGGCTCTGTGCCCCATGAATATTGCAAGGCTGTGGATTACTGTACCTGTGCAGAGACGGGGGGAGAGGGACAGAGGGACAGGGCAGGGAAGAGAGAGAGGTGGTGCAAAACCCATGACATTGCAAGCAGAATGGGTTAGAATGTAAAAGATTTATTAATTTAATCCAAAGCATTAAAAGGTCATGTATTAATCAAAGAGATGCTTAAAACTGTCAAAGTCCTTTGTCAGGTTTGAAGTGCATCTCTATAGTTATCATAAAATATATATATCAGTCTGGCATGGAGCCCCAGGCAGGGCTGGAGGAGGATGAGGAGTTAAACGAAGTGTTTTCCAGCGGGATGGACACCCCCACCTGGCCCTGCCAGGCTCCTGTGGGTGCCCAGCACCCCCACACTGAACTGGGTGCCCTGCGGGTCATCCTGCTTGTCCCCAGGCCTGGGTTTGATCCCCCTCACGTCGGGCTCGTGCCCGGTGCTGGTTTGGGGGGTGTGTTTGGGGTCTGAATTTGGGGTAGAGGTGGAGGCGGTGGGTTTGGGAGCAGGGTCCCCCACTTGTCCCCGTGGGCACAGGTGGCTCCAGCCACGGCAGCGGCCGCTGGGGCGGGTGGGCAGTGCCCGTGCCACTCCTGTCACACTCCGCGAGTGCTCGGCCCTGCCGGGATTTCTTTTCCGCTGGGGAGGGGGCGGCGGAGGCGGGTCCGGGGCCACCCGGGTCACCCGGGGCGCTGTCCCAGCCAAGTGCTGTGTCAGCAGCGTTGGCGCGGACTAACGCTACCATCTAGCGGCTGCTCCGCCACCGCTGTCCCCGCTCCGTCCGTGTCCCCGCAGCCACCCCGCCACCCCGGGAAGCCACCCACCCCCGTGCAGGGCCCGGAGAGCCGCCTGGGCTCGGCCCCAGAGCTGCGGCTGGCTGGGCTGGGGTGGTGGCAGCTGCCACCCCAAAGCCACCAGCTCCCCGGGGTGGGAGCAGGGGATTAGGAGGCAGTGGGGTGCTGTGGGGAGATCTGGGGGCACGGGGAGAGAGGGCTGAGGAGACAGAGAGGAGTTTGATGCTCTGCTGGGATACAGGACTTGCCGCTGTGGGGAGCGCAGTCCAGAGACTCTGATGGGGTTTGGGGGGGGGGGGGCTGCCCCTCCAATGTGGCCAGCCAGATTTTGTCTCCATGAAGGTAACTGCAGCAGAAAAGCCCAATTCTTCGCCAAATTCCAGCACCAGGTTGCCCTGGAGCAGCAGCAAAACCATTCCCCGTTTGTCCCAATAAAACCATTTCCGAGCAGCCCCGTGGCCAGCAGAGCAGGGCTCCCGCTGGGCCCCCTCCCCATCCCTGTGTTTGCTCTGTCACTCGACCATTCCCAGGCCCAGGAAACCTCTGTCCCCAAATCCTGCTGCTCCCCCACAGATTACCGTCACAGATGCTGCTGTTGTCAGTGCACAGCTCTTCCCAATTATCTGTTGTTTTTACACGGAAAAAGGTGTCCCCTCACAGTGACTGGTGCTGAGCTCTTGGGTGACTGCAGATAAATCCATCTGTGCCTCAGTTTCCCCTTTGAGGGGACAGTGCCTGCAGGCCTGGACCAGCAGGCTCAAGCCTGGTCAAGTCTAAACCCACATTTTTGGCCGTTTTCCACTGTTGTCTGGCCATTGCTGCCACGGAGACATGGCTCCAGTCCACGGCCCAGGACTCTGCGGGTTCTGCCAGTCCCTGGGGAGCTGAGGCTGGGGGGCACAGGGACAAACCCCCGCCCTGCTGTGGGTGGGATTGGCTCTGTGCCGGTGACGAGGGTCCCCAGCAGCATCCGGGGGCTCGGGGCCCGGGGAAGGTGGCGGTGCTGCGGCTGCCTCGTGCCAGGCTCTGCAGCGCCGGCCATCTGCAGCGTCCCCACACTGGTGCCCTGGCCCCGGCTGGCTCCTGGCTCCAGAGCTGCTGCCAGAGCCCAGCCAGAGCCGGGCTGGGCAGGGTGAGTGGGCAAGAGCGGGCTGAGCAGCCTCGGCACGATGGGGATGGAGCATGGGGGGAGCTGGTGGCACTGAATGACCCTCGGGTGCAGGGCAGGGCCGGGCAGTGCTGCTGAGCTGCTCTCTCTCCCCTCTGGAGCGCTGCAGCTGCAGTGATGCCTGCGGTGCTGCAGGGACCAGCCACCCGCCAGGGGAAGGGGCCAGAGCACAGCCCCCAGCTCGGAGCTTTGCTCTTCCCTTCAAGCCCCCAGCGCAAGCTGTGGAGCAAAAACAAGCCTGCGGCACCTTTGGAGGGGCCCTGACCTCCTTCCCCAGCTCCCCACGGCTGCTGGCCCCAGGGAGGGCCCTGCTGGGAGCTGCCCGAGCTCTGTGAAGGGCGATCCCGGGCTGGCTGTGCCCACCCTCACTCCTCCCTCCACCCCTGATCAATACCGCTCAGCATTAACATAAAATCGATGGCCCTCCCCTGCCCAGCCTGTGGTCACCCCGCAGCCAAATCCTTTAAGCCCCCCAGCCCTCCTGCGGGCACGGGGCTGGGAGAGGACGGAAGGACGGGGAGCAGGACGGGGGTCCCCCCTCAGCCCCTTCACACCGGCACCTGCAATCTCGGGCCCCACTCCCTGTCCCCAGGACTTTCCCAGTAACCACAGCAAAACGGGGGACACACTCTGCTGGCGTGAGCGGTGCACAGGGATTACCCTGGCACAGCACGTGGAAAAGCACGTGGCAAATCCACACGGCTCCTGACCCACTCCTGCCACTGGCACTGCTGGGGACAAGGCTCCTTGGCTGGGGACGTGGAAGGGTGGCATCATTTCAGGTTGGGAGCTGGACAGAGAACGGTGGGATCAGCCCCTCTGAACGCAGGAGCAGCAGGAATGGGCAGGAAAGGGAAGGAAAAGAGCAGAAATGGGCAGGAGCAGGGATGGAGCTGGGACTGGCATAGCTGGAGCTCAGCACACCAGGGCCCATCCAGAAGCACCTCTCAGTCCATTGTTCCCCGGGTGGGTTTGTGGTCCCCATGGCCCCTCAGGCCAGCCCTGGTCTGTGAAACCTCTAGCTGCAATTAAATAGGGACTTTAATTAGTGGGGATGAATCACAAACAGACCCTGCCCAGCACCAGCACCAGTGGGTTCAGACTGGGGACTCCAGCCCTGCTTTGTCCCACTGCTGTGCCCGGGCTGGGACCGGGGTGCTCCCCTGGTCTGAGGGGTTTTTCGTCCCCCAGGGGACAGCACAGGTCCCCGTGGCCGTGGGGACAAGGGACACATTGTGTGGTGAGATGTGTGTGCCCACGCAGAGGAGAGCGCGTTTGGGGCGCTGGGTGGGTGCCAGAGCCTGTGTGTGCCAGATATCGGGGGCACAGTGCCAGTGCTGTGGCCGTGGGGTGCCCCTGGACGTGTCCCTCAGGTCCAGCCCCAGGCAGGGGTGGCCATGGCACAGTCAGGCCCTGGGGCTGTGCCTGGGGCTGCTGGGTGCCAACCACCTCCTCTCCTCAGCATCCCTGCCACACGCTCTGCTCTGTCCCCCCTGCCTGGGCAGCCCTGCCCTGCCTGACCGAGGGCCTGACCCTGCCCCAGGGGTTTTTCCCTGGCATGGGGAAGCAGGGGCACATCCAGCCCTGCTCCATTCCACCTCCATGCCCTCGTAGGAGGTGGAGTGAAGCAGGAGCTGGGAAGATGCCTGGTGGTACCCAGGGATGGTGGCATGTTCCCAAGCCTCCATGTATGTCCCCAGACACCCCAGCATATCCCCCAAGCACCTGGTACGTCCCCAAACCCACCAGCATTGGCCCCCTGCCCCCCTCCCCATACGCCCAGCATTTTCCCCATAGCCTGAGCCCCCCTGACTGGGGTGGGGGCCAGTCCCTCCTTCCCATCAGTGCTGAGGAATTCATTACCGGCACAGCTGGGCCCTGCTGGGGAGGCCAAGCCACAAGGAAAATTAACCTCTTCCTCCCCAACCCGCCAGCACAGGGCCCCTCCCTGTCACAGCTGGCAGGAAGGGACAGTCCCCTCTTGGGGAGTGCAGGGTGCTCTGCAGGGGGGCAGCTTTGCAAACCCAAATGCTTCCCAATCTAGTGTTTTCAGGCTTTTATTCGCAAGGGAAGTTGGTGTGTCTCTTCCCCACGTGGCCTTGGGACAGGGGGGATTTTTTTCTGCTCACTCCCTTGGAGGCGACCCCCCAAATCTGTGCCCTGGGGCTGGGCGGGTGAGGGGGCATCACTCAGTCCTGGCTTGGCTGAACTTGGAAGCCCCCACCCCCTTCTGGGATGGGTGTTCCCACCCCAAATCCTCAGCGTTGCCCCCCAGCTCTGACCACCCCCCAGTGCTTATGCCCATCTGGGGCAGCTCATCTCTCCTGGGGCATGGCAGGGGCAGAAGGACCCAGGCTGCCCCCAGTTTGTTAGAAAGGTTTATTTCTCCGTATTTACAGACTTTGTAAAAAAAAATTAAACAACAAATCCCCCCCTTGCCCTTCCCTCCCCCACCACGGCACTGCCCACCCACAGCCCTGCCCGAGGGGTGTGGGGTGTTCCTGGCCGTGGGGCACAGGACTGAGACCCCACTCAAGAACGGCAGTGCCTGGGGGGCAGCAGGCGGGGTGGCACCCCACATTCACATTGGCACACGCTCCCCCCAGTCCCCCTGAACCCCTGCTGCAGAGGGCTGAGCCCAGGCAGCCACGACCTGCCCGGGAGCTGTGGGGCCGAGCCCACCCCGTACCCTCGTCCTGCCCCCGTGGGCAGCAGGAAACGGCCGCTGGGGCAGCGCTGCCCCCAGCCTGCCCGGGCCCCCCAGGACCCCTTGTGTCCCCCCCGTAGGACGCCCTGTCCCCCCAGTGCAAGCAGAGGTGGGCGCATGGCTTCCAGCACTTGGCTCTGCCATAGAGCAGAGGAGATAAGGGCAGGGACAAGGGGGTCCCCCAAAGACTGGGACCCCTTGGTGGGGTCGATGGCTGCTGGGGGAAGGCATACACAATCTTATAAATTAAAGGAGATATAAAGGGAGGGAGGGTTGAGATGGCCTCCCACAGGTCAGCGCCAGGACTCTGGGGGGCTGAACCCCACCCAGCTGTGCTCCCAGAGAGATTAGGGCTGGCATGGGGAGCTCCCCCAAGCCCTCTGCTACTCTGTGGGTCTGGGGGTTCACGGGGGTTCCCCACAGTCCCCCCTGCAGCCAAAGCCCTTCTCAGGTTCAAAGCTGGGTGTGAAGGCAATAAAGGGAGGGGGGGAAGAGGGGGGGTGGGGTGCACAGTTTTGTCTTCTCTGTGAGTCCAGCATCCTTGTGCAAAGCCCTGTGTCCGCCCTGGGCACCCTGAGCACCCCCCAAAAGGCATTTTGGAGGGGCACAGACAAAGGAAGCAACCACTTCTAAAGAAAAGAAGAGATTCACCCCAAAGTCCCCCCGGAGCTTCCTTGGAGTGCCAGCACTGGGTCACTGGTTGTCCCCGGGCTGGTACTGGGGCTCGGTGGCAGTGAAATAGTCCTCGAGGAAGGACTGGAGGTACTCGAAGGTGGGGCGCTCCTCGGGCTCCCTCTTCCAGCACTGCACCATCACCTCATGCAGGGATGGGGGGCAGCTCCCCGGGCACTGCATGCGGTACCCCCGCTCCACCTGCTCCAGCACCTCTCGGTTGTTCATCCCTGCGTGACAAGGACTCCCCTGCTCAGTGACAGCACCCCCATGGGACGAGCCAGTGGGGAAGCTGAGGCACACAGTGGCATTGCCCTGTGGTTTGGGTAGAAGCCCAGTTTAGCACTGATCCCTCCGATGGGGAAACTGAGGCACGGGACAAGCCTTGCTGAGAAGGGTCAGCCCCTGTCTGTGCCCTGCCCAGCCCACCCCAGGCGTGCATATGCCCAGTGGGCCGTACCTGGATAGGGCACGCGGCCTTTGGTCACCAGCTCAGTCAGGAGGATGCCAAAGGACCAGACGTCCGACTTGATGGTGAACCTCCCAAAAAGTGCAGCCTCCGGAGCAGTCCACTTGATGGGGAACTTGGCACCTGCAATGGGACACAGGTGAGCCATGGCTGGGGCTGCACCGACACCTACATACCCTGCACCTGGTGCACCCACACCTGGGACATCCCTCACCAGAGGCAGCGTCACCAGAACCCCCCTGTACTGAGGGTGTCCTGCACCCGGGGTACCCTGAACGGGGGCACCCTGCACTAGGGTGCACTAGGGGGGCCCATCACCCCGACATCCTCTGCCCGGGGCAGCTCACACATGGGACACGCAGCACCCGAGGCACCCTGCGCTGCACCTGGGGTACCCATCACCTGGAACATCCATCGGTCAAAATACCCACACCCTGGGGCACCTGTCTCCTGGGGGTACCCATTCCCTGGGGCACCTATCCTCTGGGACACCCATACCCTGGGCTGATCCAAGGTACCCATCACCTAAAATACCCATAAATTTGGGGTGTCCATCACCCAGGATACCCTTTCCCTGTCGCACCCTCCTTTGGGGCGTCCACTGTCCAGGTCCCTCAGCCCTGGGACGACCATCTCCAGGCTAAGGGGCACAAGAGGGGGACACAGAGGGGCGTTCCCACCCTGCCGCGCTGTGTACTCATCGTCCTCGATGAGGCGAGCCAGGCCGAAGTCGGCGATCTTGCACACGAGGTTGTCTCCCACCAGGATGTTGGCAGCGCGGAGATCCCGGTGGATGTAGTTCATCCGCTCGATGTACGCCATGCCTGCCGCAATCTGAGGGGCACGGAGCCGTGAGGACCCCCCGGTACACCCCGGGGTGCACCCCCACCCCGTACCAGCCCCCCAGTACCTGGGCAGCCATGTCCACCAGCTGGGGCAGCTTCAGGTAGCGGCCGTCCCCATCCTTCAGGAAGTCCAACAAGCTGCCTGCAGGCAGAGGGAGTCGCCATCAGAGACCCCCAACCCCAAGGGTGCCCTCCCTGTGAGCCCTCCCGCCCTGGCACCATGCCCCCCGCTCACCCTGGCTCATGAACTCGGTCACGATGTAGATGGGCTCCTCCGACACCACGGCGTAGAGCTGCACCAGCTTGTCGTGCCGCAGCCGCTTCATGATCTGAGCCTCCTCCAGGAAGGCCTCGGGGGACATGGTCCCCGGCTTCAGCGTCTTCACTGCCACCTTCGTGGTGCCGTTCCATGTCCCTGGGGTGGGGACACAGAGCCACCGTGAGCCCAGGGGACAGCCAGCCTGGCACAGAGGGGTGTGTGCATGGAGAAGTGTGTGGGGGCATGCTTGTGTGCATGGATGGATGGATGGATGGATGGATGGATGGATGGATGGGCGGGTAAGGAATCAGGGCAGGGCAAGGAAGGGATCCCTTGGTGGGGATTGTGATCCCACTGCATCCCACCCAGGACAAGGTGTTCCCCTCACTCCAGGACAAACCTCACCCCATTCCCAAACCCTTCATGGATTCTGTGCCAAATTTCAGTCTCCCCCACACAAGTGGGTACCACCTGGCACCCTGTGATGCTCCCTGCTTCTCCTGCCCCCTCCGCTCCCCCACCCCTGGCCGGCTGGTCCAGCCTTACCCATCCACACGTCTCCAAAACATCCCATGCCAAGTTTCCTGGTGAGGGTGACGGATTCCCGTGCTATCTCCCAGGCGTCCTTAGCTAATCCCAGGGTCTGGGGCTTCGCAGCAGGGCACGGGTGGGTGAGCAGATGGCACAACCCGTCATTGTACTCTGCGGGGGACGGGGGGCAGGCAGGGAAGAAGAGGGAGGGGATGTGATGGGATGAAGGCAGCATGCATGAGTGGAGGAAGAGGATGACGAAGGTGGGACCCCCTGGCCTGGTCCTGTGGTCCCATCTGCAGTGGGGGTCTGCTTGCCCATGCAGAAGTGACATGGGGCATCCTGGGGGACCCATTGTGAGCCCAGAGCAGGATGCGGGATAATGTGGTGAGTACACTATGTTTACAATAGGATAATTCCTCCTGCCAGCAAATCGGTGTCGCTCAGCCTGTCCTGGCAGGCGTGAGCTTTTCCCAGTGGGCTGCCAGGCCTGGGGGTGCCCCCATGTCCCCCCTGCCTCTTGCCCTGGCTTGCCCACCAGGCCCTACCCATCCAGACTTCCCCGAACTGCCCATTTCCCAGCTTCTTGAGGAGCTGGAGGGACTCGCGGGGGATCTCCCACACATCTTTGGTTTTGACTGAGAGGTCGGCCAGCCTGGGGGTTCCCTTGTGGCACGGCACGGCCAGGCGGCAGCACAGCCCGGCCGCCCGCTCTGCAGCACGGGAGCAGGGGGACAGAGTCAACGTGGGCACCGACCCCCACCAGCCCTTTGCTCCCCTCCCACCACCCCAGCCACCACCAAGGCTCCTGTATCACCCAGTCACCCCCAACATACAAATGCACCCCTCTCCACCTGCCCTAGGGACAGCTCTGCACCCCCTCGACTGGGCTGGACCCCCAGTGCCCCCCGCTGCACCCAGGGGTGGGTCACGCCGGGAGCTCCCTGCACCCTGGGCATGGAAAAGGGGAGACTCTCAGGGCCTGCCCTAACGCCACCACAGAACAGCCCTCTCCTTCCCAGTTCAACCCAGTCAGCCCAGTCTCTTACCCAAGGGTCTTCTGAGCGTTCCCTACCCCTCCTATTGCCCCCCCGGTGCCCCTCACCCCACCCTACCTATATAGTGCTGGACCAGCTGCTGGATGGTGCTGAACTGGGCACGGGTGGTGATGTAGTACCCCCCGCTGTCAAGTTTCCGAATCTTATAGTGCTTCACGTGGTCTCCCTTGGCCTCATCCCAGTCCCGGATGGAGAGGGAGTAGGCACCTACATGGGGACACCGTTCAGGGAGGGATGTGGGGCACAGCCCCTGGTGTCCCCACCCCTGTCCCTGTACCTTTCGTCGTCTCACTCTCCCGGATGAGGAAGGTGCCTCTGGAGTTGCCGTGGCACAGGAGCTGCCGCTCCGCATCTTTGCGCCCGATCTTCCCGAAGTACCACCTGCCACGGTGATGGGCTCAGGGCCAGGAAGGCACCAGGAGGGGACCAGGGAGCTCACAAGGACACCCTGGCCTGAGGCAGGCGGGGCTGGGGTTTGTCTCCATCCCTTTTCCCCCACTACTCACTCTTCTGCCTGGATGGAGTCCACAGGGGCCACGTAGTTGCTGGGGATGTAGCCCGTGGCTCCCGAGCTCAGCGACCTGGCCTCCCACCAGTCCCCCTCCCTGGGCAGGGAAACAGAGAACGTGGAGGAGGAGGAACAGACAGACAGACACCATGAGACCCTCCTCAGCCTGCAGGCAGCACCACCAGACCCGTTCTCCCCCACCCCTCTCTGCTGAGACCCTCAACTCGTGGCACGTGGCCCTGGTACCGAGTGCTGGAGCCCGACAGAGATGGGTGCCCAGCCTGGGTCCTGCGGGGGCTGCCCGAGGCACCTCCCCGGGCTGGGATGTGGGTGCTGGGGGTGGCAGGAGGTCGGGGGGGGGCTCACGTGTTGTTGATGATGTGGAATTTCTCCCCTTTCTGGAATGTCAAGTCATCCTCAGTCCTGGCCTCATAGTCGTACAGGGCGATGAAGAGCGTCACCCCCCCGCCTGTGGCATGGGGAGGGGACCACGGTGACCCCAGGCTCTGCAGCCCAGGGGTCCGAGGGTGCGGCTGGACACCCCTCCCCACCACCAGCCACCCTGCTGACCTGTGATGCCCCCGCTCCACGCGGGCAGCGCGTTGGAGGTGAAGCCCCCCGGCTCGGCGAAGGACGGGGCCGCGGGCACCGCTGGCCCCTGGAAGTTGTTGAAGTCGGGGATGCGGGTGAAGACAGCCCCTGGCTGCGTGGGGTCGGGGTCGTACTGGGAGGCAGGGGCTTGGAGGGAGCCCCCCTCGCCCCCTGCCTGCCCTTTGCCAGCCCCCCTCTGTTTGCAGGGCACACAGCCCATCCTGGCCAGCGCCTGTGGGACAGAGGGTCCGTGAGCCCCGTGCCCCCCTGGCACCGGGGCACACATGGGAGAGGCGCTGGGCGCACCCTGCCACCCACAGCCCAGCATTCTGCACAGCAGGGGACGCTGGGGTCCCCATGGGCACGGCCAGCGGCACCGCTGCAAGGGGGGCTGCGCTGCCCGGGCACCCGTGGGTGCTCCACGGCGGCTCCACTCACTGCGATGGCTCCTCGGGTCACTTCAGCTGCTCCATGTCACTCCAGGGAGGAGAAGAGTCGCCTGTGGACACCAGGGAGGGCGTCAAGTCGGGGGCAGCACCCTTGCATGGGTTGAAACAGCCTTGCCATGGGCTGTAACACCCCTCCATGGGATAAACTACTCCTGTACAGGCTGCGACACCTCTGCATGGAATGAAGAACCCCTGCCACGGCTGATACACCCCTGCACATACTGAAACACTTCTGCCGAGGGCTAAAACACCACTGAATAGATTGAAACACCCCACAGCAGGATGCAACACCCCTGCCATGGGCTACAACACCTCTACACGGGCTGCAACACCAACGACATGGACTGCAACACCACTTGCATTGGCTGTAACACCCCTGCATGAGTTACAACAGCCCTGCACAGACTGAAGCGCCCGTGCACAGGCTGTGATACCCCTGCATGAGCCATAACACCCCTGCATGGGCTACACCATCCCTTCGCAGGCTGCAGCCCCTCTGCATGAGCTAAATTGATCTGCATGATCTGCAACACCCCCACAAAGCTGCAACATTCCTCCTGGGCTGCAACACCCTGGTGTGGGCTGAAACCACATCCTCAAGTGGGTTTTTCTCTCGCCGTGTTCTCACCACACTGCTCACGTCCTTTCAGGGCATCTCACGCCTTTCAGGGTGTCCCTGAGGCTGAAGGGGAGCCAGAGCTGGTGGCAAGGAGCCCCCAGAGCGTCCCCATCCCCACACCTCTGCTTGGTGGGGAGTGGGCGTTCTGGGGAGGTCCTGGCTCACAGCGCTGTGCTCAGGACAGCTCTTCCGGCCACGTGTGTCGAGAAAGTGTCACAGAGCAGGAGGAGGAGGAGGAAATCAGACCTCTCCTGTCATGGCTCGATGGTCCATCCCCAGCCCTGTTACTGCCCTGGCTGCTGGGCAGCCACCCTCACCAGTCTGCCCAGTTGGCACCGGGCAGAGCGCTCCAGTCTGCAGAGGGAAGGAGCAGGAGGGTGTCCCGTCCTCTGCACTCCAGGGAGCAGCAGGAGACAAAGGTTTTGGGGCGGATGAGATGTTTCAGGCAGATTTTCCCAGTCATGGTTATTGATTCCCTTGATGTTGGAACCCAGGGCACAGGGAATACTTCTCTCTAAAACTTAGCTTTGTTTGCAGCAGTCTGTTTCTCCTCTCTCAGTAGGGGTGGAAGGAGCCCAGCTCTCCCCTTCCATCTCTGCTTTCACACTGGTGGTGTGGCAAGGCTGCAGCCATTGCCGACAGTGCAGCATTGCAAAAGTGGAGGAAACTCAGCTGGCTGGGATTTTATTCCTGATGACAATTACTGGCTAATTAAACTGATGAACAATCCTGGCTCTCACAAACTCTGTCCCCCCCGGGTGGCAATCACCGCCCCACCACATTCAGAAACTTCCCGCTTTGCTGAATTTCAGTCCTGACCAAGCAGTGGAATTGCCACAGGTGCCAGCAGGGACGGGAATGGCAGGGAGCACCTTCCAGGCAAGAGGAACCCCCCTGTAGCACAGCATCGAGGTGATGCTGACGAGCTGACGTGCAGCAGCACTGCACCCAGGCTTCCCTTCCCTGCACACCAGGAGCCCCCTGAGCTCCTCCCGGGGTGGTGGGGTGCCCTGGGGTGAGCCATCCCCCCACACCGCCCATGGGAAGGGGCTGCAGCATCCCGTGGTTGTGCGGTGGTGTCTGGCTCCAGCTTTCCCAAAAAGAAGCTGCTTGGAGCAGGGAGCAGATGGCAGCTGAGCCCTCCCTGCCCTGGCTCCCCCGGCACCAGCCCCAGCCGAGCTGCCAGGTCCCGCCCGCGCTGAGACCCGGCCAATTCATCACCCCTGTCCCGCCGGGCACGGCTGGGCACGGAGCAGCCGCATCCCCGACTGCCCCTCCATCTGTTCCCCAGCCCTCGGGGACACGGGGCAGCTCAGCCCCATCCCCAGCTGCTAGACAGGCCACAATTGTCCCCCCACATGCCAGCTACAGTGCTGAGGCACCCCTGGGGTCCCCTCCATCCCCTGCACCCACCCCTCTCATGGGAATAACAGCAGTGGAGGCGTCAGGCTCTGGGGGGATGCAGCCACATGGGGCCATGTGGGGTGCTGGGAATGCCACACCCCACGCCGTGGGGACAAGCCATGGTGGCACCTGCCAGGCGGAGGGGGCACGACGCCCTGGGCAGGAGGTGGCTGCCAGAGGAACTCACACAGCAACTACACAGTGGGAAGAGGAAGCAGCGGGAGCACGGGGTGGGGTGGGGGGGGAGGAAGAGGATGGTGCTGTGGCCATCAAGGGGCCACAGGACTGGCAGGAGCTGACGCCCTGGGGATGGTGACAGCTGGGAGGGTCAGACAGGGATGACAGCAGGGCTGCAGCCCCCTGGATCCCTCCCTGCCCTGTCCCACACTGTCATCCTGCATTGCCCCGTGCTGACCCAGCTCCTGCTCCCTGGGAAGAGGAACCGAGAGGGCTGCACAGCCCAGCCTGGTGCCACCGAGGTTCCTCTGTCACCCTGTGGCTCCGGAGCTCCCTGGTCCCAGCAGGAAAACTTAGGCATGAGGCAGCTGCAGCGCAGAAGGGGAAGGTGGCTCACCAGGACACAGGACCTGGGGCTGTGTCACCATCCCATGTCCAGGACCCCACAGACCTGGCGAGGGGACAAGAGGCCACATCTGCCTGCCCCATCTGCTCCTTCTTCCAGCTCTGTGTTAGGTGGTGGAGTGTCCCTGCCCCTTCCCCACTGCCCCCAGCCCCAAGGCCACCCTGCAGATACCTGGATATGCAGCCCTGCTCCAGCTCCAGTCCTCCCAGTTCACCCAGTGCCTGGTGAGTCCCCTGTGGCTCCCAGTAGGAGCAGGTTCCTCCAGAACAAGGGGTGCAAGGAGGGATGACACCCCATCCCCTGCATCCCCACAAGCAGGGCTATTCCCTGGGATGAAAAATGAAGGACGCCAACCCCCAGAAGTGATCTTCTCTGCAAGCCCACCTGTCAGCCACCAGAGCCATGACAGAGGGGTCCCCTTGCCCCCCTCCGTGGCACAAGATGCTCAGCAGAGAGGGAGCCCCCCTTCCCCAGCCTTCCAGTCCCATCGCTGGCTGGGCAAGCAGGATTTCCGCTGGAAGAAGAGCAATTCCCGGATCCAAGGGGCTGCAGGGGCGGAGGGAGGGAGCCAGCCAGGGCTCCAAATACAATGTCCCGGGAGGAGCGGGGTGGGGAGGGAATTGTGCAGGGCAGGAAGCAGCGAGTTCCTGTCCCTCCTTGGGACACACCAAGGATCAGGGACGAAGCCGAGCTGCAGGGACCGGGGGGAGCATCCGCTCCGGCCAGGGCCTGAGGCCCTCGCAGTTCCCCCAGCCTCGGCCACGGAGAGCTCAGGCTGCAACATCGCCCCGGAGCGCTGCCTGGGCAGGGAGCCCACGGGCACCTGCAGGGACGGGGGGCACAGGTGTGTGTGTGTCCCCCTGTCCCCCAGGGTGCCGTGTGCTGTCCCCTGCCCACCCTGTGCACGGTGAGGGCACCGTGTGCCCCGCAGGCTCCCGACTGGTGTCACCAGCAGTTAGCGCCGGGAGGCTGAGCTGCAGCTGGTAGCTGTGAGCTGCAGCTGGTGGGTGCCCCCAGATCTTCACACACACCACAGCCCCCCCTTGACCTGCTGCCCCCCAGGATGGCGAGGACAGGGGTCTCGTCCCACCCTCCCACATTTCCCAGGGGAGCAGTGAGGGCACAGTGAGAGCGGCCCCCCAGCACACCCCACCAGTGTCTCGGGACTCTCTGTCCCCACAGCCCAGTGGCCGTCTCACCCGGGACCCCGAGCCACCCCACACCTGGAGGGGGCATCTCTCACCGAGCACGGCAAGGGGATTACGAGCAGGGTGAGCCCCAGCGCCCTGCAGCACACAGCGCACACGTACCTCCTGCTCCGCTGGCACGGACCCCCGCCCGCCCGGCGGGACCGGCGGCGGCGCAGCCACGGCAGCCCCGCTCCGGGGAGAGCGGCAGCGCCCGGCCGTGAGCTTCCCCCGTCTCCTCGGCGGCTCTGGCAGCCGAGCGAGAGCTTCCCCTCCCCTCGCCCCCCCTTCCTCCCCGCGCTCGCAGCAGTGCTTCATTGTACCAGCCAGCCCGGCCGCTGGCTGGGTCACCCTCCGGGCCACCCTCCGGGCCACCCTCCGGGCCACCCTCCGAGCCACCCTCCGGGCCACCCTCCGAGCCACCCTCCGAGCCACCCTCCGGGCCACCCTCCGGGCCACCCTCCGGCCACCCCCCGAGCCACCCTCCGGGTCACCCTCCGAGCCACCCTCCGGGCCACCCTCCGGGCCACCCTCAGGGCCACCCTCAGGGCCCCTCGGCACCCGGCCGGGCAGCACAGCCTGCCCGTACAGCGGGGAACGGGCATCAGGGGGTCTCCGGTCCCCAGCAGCACCGGGAGGCACGGGCGAGCATTGCCGGGCTCTGCCTGCGGGGATTTGCGGGCAGCGTGCGGATCCAGCCGTGCCCAAAGCCTGGCGGTGCCTCCCTGAGACCCCCGAGGGAGCGTCCCCGGGCAGGGAACAGCAAAGGGACACAGAACAGAGCGCTGTGGCCCCGCAAGGGACAGGAACAAGGCAGGACACGCACAGCAGCCACCCGTCCTGCTGGCCCAGGCTCTCAGGGGCAGGGCAGAGCCGTGGAGGGGCAGTGAACAGCCCACCATGCCTGGGCAATGGCAGGTAGCTCTGGGTTGTGTTCCAGGGGTGTCCCACACGTCCCCCCAGTATGGGGTGCAGCTCTTAAGTGGCTCAAGCCAGTTCTGTGTCCATGGATTGCCCACTAGACATCAAACCCCTTAATCGCCCCTTACCCAGATGAAGTTGCTGGTGGGATGACCCCAAGATTCGGCATCGGTCACACTAAGCCACAAACTTCAGTGAGCTCTGGAATTGGGGTAAAGCACCCAGACCCCTGTCTGAGAGCCCCTGCCCCGTGCCTGAGCCCTCTGCATCCTGTGTGACCCCCCTGCATCCTGTGTGACCCCCCTGCATCCTGTGTGACCCCCCTGCACCCTCTCAGAGCCTCCCCGGTGCTGTCTGAGCCCTCCGCATCCTCTCCGAGTCCTCCTGGAGCTCTGTCCCGGCTCTGCCACCCTGTCCTGCCACACAGCTGGGCTGGAGCGGGACCCTTCCCGTCTCTCCAGGGCCTTCCTCCTGCTCCTGGCCCTGAAGTCAGCCCTGAGGAGTTAACCCTCTTTCTTCCGTGGCAGTGGGTCCGGCTGCAGTGTTTCCTTCAGTGCCAGGGCTGGTGCAGCTGCCAGCCTCACCTTGGCACTCCTGACCCACCCTGAGAGGGAAGGAAGCCCGGCTGGCCCCAGCACCCCCATCCAGGGCGCCCACCCCACTGCTGCTTGAGGCATTTGGGGCTCACCGCGCACCTCCCGTCCCCCGGCATTGCTCCATCTCCCTCGGCGGGCCCTGCCCAGACACGCTGTCCCCGCCGAGCCCCGAGGGGTGCCCGGCCCCCGGCAGCCGCCACATGATGCGGCTCCTTCCCTCCTCCGGGGAGGGCCCCGGTTCCTGCATTGCTCCGCCGCCTTTCGGTGCCGCTGGCTCCGGCTAAAAGCTGCGGGGCCGGTGCCGGGCGAGCCGGGGCGGCCGCGATGGGTGTTCTGCGCTGGCTCCTCGCCTCTGCACTCTGCATCACCGTCCGGGGTGAGTCTGACCCTCACCCCGGCACTGTCACCGCTGGGGACACCCCGGGCATGGGAGGGAGGTGGGGAGCACCCCACCGGATCTCCTCCCGCTGCTCTGCAGGGCAGTTGGAGTCTGGGGAAGTGGTTTTATTGCTTGTCGGGCCCCAAAATTTGCAGTTCCTCCAAGACACAACTGAGATGGGTGGCAAAGAGCGTGGAGGGGGGGGATGTGTCTTGAAGGCTTGGTGGGGCTGGGGGCATGAAAATAAAACTAAATTGAGGCTTTAACCCAAGGGGTTTAACCCAACCAGGCAGGACAGCCAAGTGTGAGGGGACAGGGGTGGCAGGGCCACCGTGTCCCCATGGGACCCCCTTTCTGGGTGTTGATAAAGCCAAGCAGGGCTGGGTGGTGGCTGCACCCATTGCTGCCATTGGTGCCCCGAGACGGCGTGTGATGGGTACCCATGGCACAGCCTGGGGTGCAGCTGGGGTCTGCCCGTCCTGCCTGCCCCAGGGCTGGGGGGCAGGCTGCTCCGGCTGTCCCGGGTTGGGCAGGCGCTGTCTGGGTCCGGGCAGGTGCTGCCGGTCGCTCCTGACGAGGAGGAAGGTGCTGAGGGAGGGAAGGACTCGTTCCCAGCAGTTGTGTTGGCGTGGGGTTGCACAAGCTGGGAGCCCGCAGGGAGGCTGGGGAGGTCACTGGAAGATGCCAGGCAGAACCAGTAAGGTCTCTGGCACCCCTCAACCATGCCCTGTGTGTTGGGGACAGCTTGGCTGGGTCTCACCTTGGAAATGTTCAAGGCCGGGGCCACAGCGCTGGGGGTGACACTGGGGCATCACCCCAGTTGTCACCCAGGAACTGCAACAGTGCAACAGTGCAGGACTTGCTGCAGTGTCACGGCAGGCTGTGGCATGGTGCTGACCCTGGGAGGGTGTCAGTGCCTCAGTGTCCCTTGGATGAGCTCAGGAAGCTCTTTTGGCTAAGAAGGAAAGCCCCAGGCAGCCGGGAAGGGGAGCACTGGCTTGGCAGCCTCCCACCCCCACTCAGCCAGGGGGGACACACAGACCCCCCCTCAACCTGCCCCTCTCTGCCTTTCAGGACAGGACTATGGGCTCTCCCGCCCACCCCCTCAGTTCGGCTCCATCTACCATGTCCGAGGTAAGGGGACCCTGTGGTGGGGGAGGAGAGGCCGTTCAGCACAGGGTCGGACCAGGCTGTCCCAGCGCCAAACTGGGGCAGGTTCCCACAGCCCAGTCCTGACCCATCACCAGTGGGGCACTGTCTCGGCCAGCTGTGGGTCTGCAGACTCTGGGGGGCTCAGGGAGGGATGCTGGGGTGCTGAGGCTGTGGGGCTGACCTGTGTCCTGTGCCGGGGGCTCGCAGGGGTCATTAAGCTGCCCTATGCCGAGATCGAGGAGCCCTTTGAAGCCTGGTACAACCTGACGGGGAACAAGAGCCGGATCCAGTACTACGGAGGTAAGAGGTGGGCACCCAGCTGTGCCCCCCCACGCCAGCAGGACTCCCGTGCCTCAGTTTCCCTGTCCCTGGTGCAGGGCAGGTGATAACCTACCAGCTGGCAGCAGTGAAGCCCTATGGGATGAGGTACAAGATCACGCCCGAGACCACTGAGAAGGAGGTGAACACCAGGAAGTGCTTCCAGCTGCCCGGCTCCAAGGAGGACGTGGTCACAGCTCAGAGCGTCTTCCCCAGCATGAGGGGCTTTAAGGTGGGAAACCTCCGGGCCTAGACCTGCCCTGCCTCCCAAAGCACCTCCAGGCTGTGGGACGGGGTGCTGGGAGATGCTCCTCTCTGTCCGAGGGCTGCGGGGCGCTGGGACCGGCCAGGACACGTCCCCACACCCCAGGGTGCAGGGAGGGCCCCTTCCCCACCCGGACTGGGGCTGGACTCCTGGTTCCTTTCCCAACTCCAGCAGCCGTGTTGGGACGTGTCACATCCCACACAAACGCTGGCATTTCGGCATGGTTTGGGCAAGCCTCTGCACGGCAGCTCAGCTCCTGGCAGCCCCAGCCTGCCTCAGGGCTGGGCACAGCACGTGAGCAGGGGGGACAGCAGGTTGTCACTGGGCTGGACACATGCCTGCACGGCAAGAGCTTGGAAACATGCAGCAAAAACCCGAAATCTTGTCAGGTTTTTGGAGAAATGGTGCAGCCAGACCCCCTGCTATGGGTGCACAGATTGCTGTGCACAGCGGAGTGTCCCCAGGGCACCGCTGAGCCAGACGGGGAGGGTCTGCTCTGTGTTGCACCCCATATCCTTGCCCAGTTTCCATCCCATGCATGGCTGTGTGCTCATGGCCGTGGAGCCACTGGATGCAGCTGGAGCACCGGGTGTGTGCACTGGGCTGTGCACAGGGGCTGGGTGGGCAGTGGGTGGCCTGGGGGAGGTTAGGGTCTCCTCCCTGAGGCCGTGTCCCCCCCAGTTCCTGCGGGAGGAGTACTACAAGGACCGGTACTGCGCCGTGTGGCAGAACATCACCCGCTGGGCACAGAAGAAGAACGTCTACACCCTGTGGGTGACCAACTCCAGCTGTGGGGTGGCCCCCGTGCACTATGAGATGCGGGGGTACAACAGCCTGCTGGGCTCCCACTACGACAAGTATGAAATCGCCTACACTGACTTCGACAACAGCTACCCCCCGTCCGTCTTCGACCTCCCCCTCAACGGTGAGCAAGGGAGGGCCCCCCATCCTGCCCCCCCATCCTGCCTGCAGGGCTGCAGCTGACAGCGTCCTCTCCCTGGCTCCAGAGACCAAGTGTGGGGTGCTGCCGGGGAACGTGGCGGAGCACCGGGTGCTGGCGAACCCCATGGAGGACCTGGTGGGACAGCAGCAGCCCTGGGCACACCGGGTTTTCCACGACTACCGCCGGCAGATGGGGCGGCACTACGGCTCCGTGCGGGAGCTGGAGCACAGGCAGAGCATCTTCGTGCACAACATGAGGTACAGGGGGTGGGGGGATGTCGGCCCTCTGGGGGTGCTGCTGGCGCCAAGGAGGCGCTGGCAGTGCCAGTGGCGCCGTGTCCACCACGGTGGCAGGTTTGTGCACTCGCGGAACCGCGCCGCGCTCTCCTACACGCTGTCCCTGAACCAGCTGGCCGACCGCACGCCGCAGGAGCTGGCAGCCCTGCGGGGCCGCCGCCGCAGCGGGACCCCCAACCACGGGCTGCCCTTCCCCACAGACCTCTACGCCGGCATCATCCTGCCCGAGAGCCTCGACTGGCGCATGTACGGTACGTGGGGAGTCAGGGCACACCAGGGCGCTTTGGAAGTCAGTGCTCCTCACCCAGGCCTGCGCTGAGTCCCACAGAGCTCCCCCGCTCCCCATCACTACACTGGGCAGCCTGCGGGACTGTGCT